CTCATATGTCGTGTGTTTGTGTGGATCAGGGTGTGGATCTGCGGCAGTACTCCAAACAGGTGGAGACGGAGCTGCAGCGCATCGAACAAGCATCAATCAAGGACTGTATCCATACTTCAGTGCATTTATGACAGAATCACACCAAAACATATCAGCTCATCCAAAGAAAAAAAAATATTTACTTAACTGCTTCCTCCTGTCAACGTTATGATTCTGCACATAATGTTTTTCTCCTTCTCTGTTTGACTGACACTCCCATGAAACATGGTTTATGAATCAATAATCAGGTCTTATTATTCAGAACCTGTCATGGATGTTTGTAGAGACCCTTAACCGTAGCGCTGGTGTAGATATCAAAGAGAGTCAGAATATTGCCTCTTTACACAACCAGATCACAGCCTGTGACTCCATACTGGAGGTGAGTGTATTCTGCTCTTTACACTGCTTTGACAAACTCTGACATGGACATCACTGAATAAATAACTCGCGTTCAAGTTTACAATTCTACAAACTGTAATTCAGAAGAAAAGCTGCATGATTTACAAAGTAACTTTTGGAATATATTATTATGTATTACTTGTATTTATATCTATATTGTATCCATATTTCGGCTGATGTTCTGCTGGGCTCTTTGAGCACATTTAGAGCTGTCAGTGGGACAGATGAATGTGAAGCTGTGCTGAGTTTGCTGCTGCGCTCCTCTGTGTGCAGCGTATGGAGGGCATGCTGAGCAGCTTCCAGAGCGACCTGTCCTCCATCAGCAGCGAGATCCAGACGCTGCAGCAGCAGTCGGTCAGCATGAACCTGAGGCTGAAGAACCGGCAGGCCGTGCGTGGTCAGCTCAGCCAGCTGGTGGACGAGCTGGTCGTTCCCGGCACCATGATCTCGTAAGAGCCTCTCATCACAGGCAGCGCTTTACCTTCTCAATCACTCAGTGAAGAACTGTCTGTGTGTGTGTGTGTGTGTGTGTTTCAGTGTGATTCTGGACAGTCCTGTGACGGAGCAGGAGTTTCTGGAGCAGCTTCACGCGCTCAACAGCAAGATCAACTATGCTAAAGAGCTCCGCTTCAGAGAAACCCTCGCCTGCTCCGACATACAGGACATCGTAGATCGCCTCAAAATTAAAGTCAGAGCACATCAAAGATTCTACAGCGATCCCATCATTCTTGATAATAGAACAGATGCATTGAAAATGAACGCTACTGAGTTCTCTCTCTGCTCTGATCCTGTTCACAGGCCGTCTCAAAGATCCGTGAGCAGCGTAGCAGATCTGTTCCGCCAAGACCAAATACATTAACTTTGTCTGTCCATCACCATACTAAAATCTTCCGAGAGTTGTCATGATTGAACTACTTTTAACTTCTCATTTCTGTTGAGTGAGAAGCGCTATACTGATTGTGGATGTGTTTCTGCTCATCTGCAGGTTTTTCTATCAGTTCCTGTTAGCCAATGAGAGGACAGTAGCTAAAGAGATCCGGGACGAGTACGTGGACACCATGAGCAAGATCTACTTCAGTTACTTCAAGTCCTACAGCGGCAGACTGCTGAAAGTCCAGGTGACAGACAGGGAAGCGTGCTGTGCTTCTGGATGAGTTTGGATTGATTGAGATTGAGAGTAGATGTATTGACCTCTAAACATCACGGATTAATAAAGCGTTCACTGCACACGGTTGCGGTCCCGCAGTGCGTTCAGGAGCGGTGCGTCTGCTGCAGTGCAGAGATCGGTTCCGCACCGAGTCTATTTTTACTGCGCTGTGAGCGCTGAATTAAAGTAACAGCGCATTGTCTGCGGTAAATATGATCATGGATTGACACATAATGTAGTAATTACACCATAAATGCATATAATTAAAGTCTACTGTGTTTCACAATCAACACATAGGCTATGGCTTTTGGCTAGGTTTAAAGGGAAAGAGCACTTTTAGATAAACAAGGCAATAATAGATGGCACTCGTGGAGGAAGGAAAACAAAGTTCTTCATGAACCGCAGGATTGCTTGTGATAAAGATGTAAATGCAAAAGAAAAGGCAGTAGAGCTGAGTGTTTATGTCAGTGGTAAGTTTTAATTTAGAATGTTTGTGATAATGAAGTAGTTTAAATGTTTTGCCACTTGCTTGAGCAACTTAATATATAAATCTAGAAGTCAATGCAAAAGTAAAAAGCATTGAATAATGTGTTTCTTATATTTATTGCGTTTAAACATGTCTATGAAAGATTGTATTATACTGTATTGTTTAAAAAAATAATCACAATGCTGAAAAAGCATTTTAAGTTTATGTTTGGATTTAAAATCTAAATAATGGATGACTGTTGTGTTTGTAGTAAACAGCCAGCCACGGATCAGTGTCAGACTCCTGTGTGAAAGCAGTCTGTGCTGCTTCTGCGCCACTTACGCACCACACATGGACTGCATACGCACTGCGAGCGGAGGATGTGTGAACCTGGTGTAACACTGCCTCACATAAAGCTCATGAAATCAGGCTTGTGCTGTGTGTAAGCTATTGTGCAACAACTGCACGATTATCGAAACAAAAATACAGTGCATGATCAAACATTTAAGTCAGATAAATATTATAGATATATTTTTGAAAAATGTCTAAAAAATGCCCCCCTCCACCCCTCAAATAAATTAAAAAATCCCCTCTCACAAGAGTCACCTAAGAGGGGAATTCATTTTCAAAAATGAAATTCAGGCCCTGAATAAATGTCTAAAAATCTTGATTGGATCATCACTATAAATAATTCTACATGATAAAAAGAAGGCTTTAAAGGGCCATGAAACCCCCTGTTTCAGCACTGGTTAGTTCTCACCACAGTTTTAAACAATGCTAAAAAAGTGGGCGTGTTGCGCAGTGGAATGGCATTTCGCTCCCATCGAGTTAAAAACACAAATAAATGCACAGCCATTTGCACTCTGCATCGAAAACATATATGAACGCGCTGTTGCACCTCTGGTAACTTTTAAGGCTTATTCTGCGGTGTTTACAGGTGCATCTCAATAAATTAGAATGTCATGGAAAAGTTCATTTATTTCAGTAATTCAACTCAAATTGTGAAACTCGTGTATTAAATAAATTCAATGCACACAGACTGAAGTAATTTAAGTCTTTGGTTCTTTTAATTGTGATGATTTTGGATCTTATTAAAAAATAAATAAAAATAAAAACACTCTCCTTTGATTCATGTACGTTTCTCTCAGTTAAAGGTGTCATATGATGCGATTTCAATTGTTCCTTTCTCTTTGGAGTGTTACAAGCTCTTGGTGCATAAAGAAGATCTGTAAAGTTGCAAAGACTAAAGTCTCAAATCCAAAGAGATATTCTTTATAAAAGTTAAGAGTCAGCCACACCTACCTAAAACGGCTCGTTCTAACACGCCCCCACATACCTACGTCACGATCTGGGAAGATTTGCATAACACCATCGATGTACTATAGTCCATTGCCACGTCACAAATTGTGACGTAACTCGATGTAGATTTTAAACCCCGAAGACAAAAATAGCTCAAAAAAGCTTAAAATTAACCAGTTTTCTCCTATAGTTAAAATTATTAGATGCTAACATTGTCTTCTATGATGTGCAACACAAACACCTCTGCTAAAATCTCAGAAAAAGTAGTCTGGGGTTTCATGACCCTTTGAAAAGATGGGTATCGGTGATCGTATCGGCAGATACTGCTTTCTGTGATCGGCCTCAAAAATCCTGATCGGAGCTTTTTCTTCCCATGTGGCACAGATCGGATATGGCCCACAGAAGCAGGAAAAAAGCACAGGGATTCTGATATTCTCAGATCAGTTGGAAATAAATCTGATATGAATCGGATGCGTGCATTATTTGCTTCTGCCGTGTGAGCGGACAGATCGGATATTCCCCTGCTATTGCGAGCTGGATGTCAAATGTTTTTGAAACATATCGCGGTACAGATATATCTACTACAAATGAAGCATCTCTAGTTGACTAGCAGAGTATTAATGTCGTTCGTTTGTGTTAAATCACAGGCGATCTGGTGCTTTAGAGATCGTGCCGAGTGCTGGTTACCGCTGTTATCAGACCAGCGCTTCAGTCTACTGCTAACTCTTGTGGAGACTCTCTGTTCGTTCGGGTGAAATCACAAAATAAAGTGCACACAAATATGTCCCTGCTCTTGATACACAGTCACTGATGAACACATTTGGTGCTAATGAAGAAAAAAACTATACGAAACTAAAACTATAGATCTATGTTTCACTTTTGCAGAAAAAAGGTTTAACAATCCTGAAAGATCCCTTACATCCAGCCAGACACCTCTTTACGCCTCTTCCTTCAGGCAGACGCCTCAGAGCAATTAAAACTAAGTCTACACGTTTTTTGAACAGCACTTATTGTAGGATTGTTCATGCTCTTAATTCCTCTGGTGTCTATGCATCTGTATTTCACTCCTTATAATTGATAGGACATAGATAGTTGTGTATGTGTATGTATTTATATATTGTATGCATTTTAATGTTTGTTATTATTGTTGATGAGCTCACCAAGAAAAATTCCAATAGTTTAGCAATAAATAAATAAATAAATAAACGAGGGCGGGTCAGAATCCAGACCTGCTAACATGCTTAGCACAGTTTAGCACCCGCGGATCTGTGTATATAATCACTCTCGTGAAGAATTGACACTAATTAATGATTTTGATGTCAGGATGAAACTATTGCATTAAAACTCATTAGACCTGAGTTCTGTCAATAAGTTAAACGTTTATATTCTGGACTTGTGTGCTTTTCGATACATAGTATGCTTTATTAATAAAGTGTGTGCAGAGTTTGGTCACTGTCTAATGCATTGAGCCACGATCAGTGTTTTTCATGTTAAGCCTGTGTAGTGTAAATACAGATATCAGATATGGGTCACTTTTAAAAGAAGGTTAAAAAAAAAATCGGATATAGTCAAAAAAATCTGATTTGGGCAATCTAAAAAAGTAAATGCAAAAATAATAATAGACTAAAAAAATCTGCTTTGGCTCTCAGGGCGCAGTATAAATAAATAAATAAATAAATAAATAAACGAGGGCGGGTCAGAATCCAGACCTGCTAACATGCTTAGCACAAGTTTAGCACCCGCGGATCTGTGTATATAATCACTCTCGTGAAGAATTGACACTAATTAATGATTTTGATGTCAGGATGAAACTATTGCATTAAAACTCATTAGACCTGAGTTCTGTCAATAAGTTAAACGTTTATATTCTGGACTTGTGTGCTTTTCGATACATAGTATGCTTTATTAATAAAGTGTGTGCAGAGTTTGGTCACTGTCTAATGCATTGAGCCACGATCAGTGTTTTTCATGTTAAGCCTGTGTAGTGTAAATACAGATATCAGATATGGGTCACTTTTAAAAGAAGGTTAAAAAAAAAATCGGATATAGTCAAAAAAATCTGATTTGGGCAATCTAAAAAAGTAAATGCAAAAATAATAATAGACTAAAAAAATCTGCTTTGGCTCTCAGGGCGCAGTATCCTTATCTTTAATGACTGGATTGACTGCTTAGGATTTTAGTTTTCTTTTACAAAGCGCTACTGTTATAATAATAGTTTACTGATGCCTTGGTTGAATTGTTTTCATATAATTTTGTTCACGGCAGCAGAATGTCTTATAGGTCAAGGCAGTTGAATAGTTTTGATTGCAACTGTATGTATGTAGATGCATATGTATTTTTATTTTGCATTCTCTCTCTTTGCCAGTATGAAGACGTTGCAGATAAGGATGATCTGATGGGAGTGGAGGACACAGCCAAAAAAGATATCCTTCAAACCGCCGGCTGTCCACAATCACATAGAGTAGCACACTTACTTCAAGATCTCCTTTTGGGTTTGCTTTTTGCTGTGCCATTATAATGTGGTGGATTTCTTTAACTGCTATGCAGGTTTTTTCTCCAAACCTTCTCTCAAGAGTAGGAACACTATTTTCACAGTTGGCCAGAGGGGGGCAGTGTTGAGTCCTGCGGAGCTGGAGGGGCCCATACTGATCCCACACGCCGCTCAGAGAGGAGACTCCAGAGTGAGACACTGAGCTTCTGCTTTACAATGCTGCCATGAGAGCCAGTCCTGATATTTCTCTCGTGTTCGCAAAGGCTAGGGCCACTATTACTCTTTCGTAAACTTGATCTCAACACCCCTAGCCCTAAGAATTCAACTTTGGCTAAATGAATATGAATAATATTTCATATCATGGTGCGCTTTTCTTTGTTATTGGACTTTTTTTTTCTTTTCCCCTGGCAAAGGACAAAACGAACAACAAAAAATCCCATAGGCTTATATGTGGCGTTGTTTTGCAGTGAAACCCCACCAATAATCAAGATGTGCTTACCTGTAAATAGTTCATCAGTAAACACTGATGGCCCTGCAGATGATCAGCATAGAAACACTCAGGATTGTATTTTGACACAATAGCCTGCACACCATCGCTGTGATCAGTGACTCTGATTAAATACTGTACGCTCTAAATGGTTTTACAGTGCGACAATTATATCATTGGTCAGTTCACTTCTGCTCCTCTTTCAGGGGTGTAACGCTACACAAACATTCGGTACGGTTTCGGTACAGCAGTAGGAAAAAACTAAACTTAAAATTGCTTTTTTTATGTTAAACAGTGGCGTACTGAACAAATTGTTCTTTCTTTAAATAAATGTAATTATAATTAAAATTTTCTTAGGGATAAAAATCGACCTCAGATTCTGCTCTAAACTACAGTGAGCCCTTTTACATTACTGTAAGATTACAATTAAAAACAGAGCGAGATTTTATATAATAATCAACACTCAAATTAAAAAAATTGTATGCAAACACGTAAATTGCACATAATGCAGTTTTTAAATTAACTTCTAAATTATAAAAATTCTATTTGTTGTTGAAATATATTCATTTACACAGTGCCTCTCACAAGTCGTTTCTTAACAGATTTATTTAAACATTAAATAATTAAGACATCACTAACAGGTAGAGTAAAATATGAGTATATAGTCTGATATTTCGTGAAATGCTCTTCTCTAGACTTCATTTATCGCGCACTAACGAGCTGTGGACACTGATGACTGCCTGAGGGAAATGAAAGGCTACGTCACGTTTTGTTTACAAGCTGTTTTATTGCCGTCTTTCCGCGGTTGAAACACTGATTGAGCAATTACACGAGGCATGAGATGTTCATTCATGTTTATTTCATGTTAAAACTAGCAGTAAAGAGGAAGAGATGAT